TGGACCTTCATATGGTGTACAGTATCTCCTCCTCATTTGTTGGTCACATGACATTATATTGGGGAATGGAGATGGACCTTCATATGGTGTACAGTATCTCCTCCTCATTTGTTGGTCACATGACGTTATATTGGGGAATGGAGGTGGACCTTCATATGGTGTACAGTATCTCCTCCTCAAGAATTTTTGGTCAAACTACATACCTCATACAAGTAAAATGAAAATGTCAACATTTTCGGGCTCAGTAGTCATTACCTTTGCCAATATCAATGGAAGATTTCTTCAGTTTCTTTTCTGAGCTCTTCTCAACATCCTCCGTAGGTTGCTGATTACCCATCACACTCGTCTCTTCTTCTTCCTCTTTTATCTCAGCTTTTATATAAATCCGTTCTTCACTCTAAACCCCAAAATTAAGTCTGTAAAAAGTTTGCATTCATAACAAAAGACAACAAAGAGTTCAGAACACTTCTATGTTCAGGGATACCCATTCCCACAGACCTGATCATGTTGAGGGAGGGTGAGATCTTCCTGTGTGGAATCCCGGGAATACAGAGGACGGGGACATCTCTCTGACCAGCAGCTCCATCATCTTCTCGGTGACTTCTCGAATCTTCTTGTTGTCTCTGTCAATTGTCAGTGAGAGAAGTGGAGGCAACTTAATGGTCAGCTGGTCAGACGACTTCACAGGGGGCAGTGTCTGAAATAAAAGACCAAGAGTGATGTCATGTGACCTCCCAGAATCCTCCTCACCCCTCCGGTCAGGTCTGTGTTTTATGAATAGAGATCAGAGTGATGTCATGTGACCTCCCAGAGTCCTCCTCACCCCTCCAGTCAGCAGGTAGATGATCTCCAGGGTGAGGTCCAATATCTTCTCTGCAATGTCACTCCGGTCCTCCTCCATCCTCATTTGTTTTGTTGGTCGGATGGTCAGGGCAGGGCGACCCTCTGTGTAGACAAAATAGAAATTGAGACTTTTTGGGGGTTTCCCCACCATGGACTATGTTTTCCTCTAGTTCTGACCTCTACAGCTGCTATGGATTCAATATATTATATTAAATGTGTCGGCATAGCTTCTCGGCCTTTTTGGCTAAGATCAAGGGTAGCATCTGTTCTTATCAGTTTTCGGAGGGGAGGAGCGCCGCCCTGTTGGGGGGGATGGTTACGTGGTACTCTCTGGAGTGAAGGCGGATGTTTGGGGGGTTCCTTACCTGCGATGGGAACTCCTCTGCACTAATGCCTCCTGATGGGGATGGGTGCTGCTCTGGTCTGGCCGGAGGGTGCGGGGCGCGCAGAGGCCCCGCGGTGCTGTGCCCAAAGGGGTGGCGTCCCAGGGGTGCAAGAAAACCACTTGGGTTTGGGATTCACCTGCACTAGGATACGAGGAGAGGGGTCCCCGACCTTTGGGTAGGTGGACCTAAGTCCTCCTTGCCCCTGTCAGGAACCTTGCTCCCCGGGGGGGTTCAGGAATGGACAGTTGGATAAATGGCTCTATATTTAGGATGTATCCAGACCTCTAACCCAGAAATTCCTGTCTTAACCTTATATCACTTCCTGTCTTTGCGCTCCATTTGCATTAAGTGAGATTGCCACCTTGTGGACAATGAATAGATTGCAGCCTCTGTATTTTGCAACTCTTGGACCTCTTCCCATTGAAGAATTCCTTCTTCATGTTGAATACATTATGTCATTTACCTGTTTGGCTTTGCCAAATTTTTTGTTCAACTGTCCTATATGTAGGCGGCCCGAAGCAAATGGCCCCTCGAGGGTGCGTTATCTTGCCGGAGTGGATTAATGTGAAAATATTATTTTGCTGGAACACTGGGTCAGAGCAACTCCAAAACTGGGGCTCCTATGGGATGTTCCCAGTCTGCGGTGGTCAGGACCGACCAAAAGTGATCCAAGGAAGGAAAACCGGTGACAGGGTCATGGATGGTCAAGTGTCATTGATGGACGGGGGGAGGGAAGGCTCATTGATGGATGTGGGTAGGGAAGGGTCATTAATGGACGGGGGGAGGGAAGGCTCATTGATGGACGTTGGGAGGGAAGGCTCATTGATGGACGTTGGGAGGGAAGGCTCATTGATGGACGTTGGGAGGGAAGGCTCATTGATGGACGGGAGGAGGGAAGGGTAATTGATGGACGTTGGGAGGGAAGGCTTATTGATGGACGTGGGGAGGGAAGGCTTATTGATGGACGTGGGGAGGGAAGGCTCATTGATGGACGGGGGGAGGGAAGGCTCATTGATGGACAAGGAAGGGGAATGTCTAGCCTGTGTAGTCAGATCCAATAGAAGAGATACTGGAGAACAGATTCATGGTTCTGGTTCTGATAGAAAGGTGTCTGAACACGCAGAGCATCGCAGGTCGTTGTGTATGGGGCTGTGTAGCCGCAGACCGGTCAGGGGGCCTATGCTGACCCATGTCCACCGCCAAAAGCCCCTACAATGGGCACGTGAGCATCAGAACTGGACCACGGAGCGATGGAAGAAGGCGGCCTGGTCTGATGTACATCATGTGGATGGCTGGGTGCGTGTGTGTCACTTACCTGGGGAAGAGATGGCACCAGGATGCACTGTGGGAAGAAGACAACCCGGGGGAGGCAGTGTGATGCTTTGGGCAATGTTCTGCTGGGAAACCTCGGGTCCGGCCATTCATGTGGATGTCATTCTGACACGTACCACCGACCTAAACATTGTCCCTGACCAAGTCGCCCCCTTCATGGACACGGTATTCCCTGATGGCAGTGGCCTCTTTCAGCAGGATAATGAGCCCGGCCACACTGCAGGAATGGTTGAAGAATGGTTTGAGGAACACAACAACGAGTTGAGATGATGACTCGGCCTCCAGATCTCAAACCAATCGATCATCTGTGGGATGTGCTGGAAGAACAAGTCCGATCCATGGAGTCCGATCACCTCACAACTTACAGGATTTAGAGAATCTGCTACTGATGGCTTGGTGCCAGATACCACAGCACACCTTCTGAGGTCTAGTGGAGTCCATGCCTGGATGGGTCAGGAGAAGGGGGGCCTACTCAATATTAGGGGGGTCATCCAGATACCACAGCACACCTTCAGAGGTCTAGTGGTGTCCATGCCTGGACGGGTCAGGACAAGGGGGACCTACTCAATATTAGGGAGGTCATCCAGATACCACATCACACCTTCAGAGATCTATGGATTCCATGCCTGGAGGGGTCAGGAAAAGTGGGACCTACTCAATATTAGGGGGGTCATCCTGATACCACATCACACCTTCAGAGGTCTAGTGGAGTCCATGCCTGCACAGCTCAAGAAAAGGGGGACCTACTCAATATTAGGGGGGTCATCCAGATACCACATCACACCTTCAGAGGTCTAGTGGAGTCCATGCCTGGAGGGGTCAGGAGAAGGGGGACCTACTCAATATTAAGGGTTGTGGTCACAATGTTACGACTGATCGGTGTATGTATATATTCTCTCTCTCTCTCCACACATTTATTCCATAACAAAATAATACGGACATTTTATTTGACTGACGTAATTGTTTAATTGAAAACAAAAGAATTGGTTAGAAATCCGTTAGCTTCTCCCGCACTTTACAAACCACAGCGAATGGAACGACCAAAGTCTTAGTAGAGAAGAGATCCATTTCCTGAAGTGTAATAAATGTTACGGAATAAGATCTGTTCCTGGAAATAGAGAAGAGAAGACATTCCTAAGATGTGGTCACACCTTCCATAGGTCACGTTTCTGCACCTGGTAGTTGCTGGAGAGATAAACCTTTCGGATGCTTCTTATATTTCTCCCCTGGGATAAGATCTCTGCACAAGGACAGTGATCCCTATGAGGGTCTCCTGTTCCCTCTGCTGAAATGCATACATTTCACATCAGTATATGATAAGCCACTATACATCTGTCAACAGCATCAGCGGGTATGTGTTTTCTGATGTCTAGTCAGACTTGTTTTGTGTCTAAAACTTTTCCCGCACTCTGTACATGAGAAAGGCTGTTCGCGTGTGTGAACTTTCTGGTGTCTATGAAGGTCTCCTTTAATAGTGAAACATTTCCCGAACTCTGGACAAGAAAAAAGGACGTTCTCCTGTGTGAATTCTCTGGTGTCTGAGAAGGTTTGCTTTCTCTGTACAACTTTTCCCACACTCTGAACATGAAAAAGGACGCTCGCCGGTGTGAGTTTTCTGGTGTCTAAGAAGGTTTTCTTTCTGAGTGCAGCATTTGCCACACTCAGGACAGGAAAAAAGACGCTCGCCCATGTGGATTTTCCGGTGAGTACTTAGGCTTCCTGTTTCAGTGAAACTTTTCCCGCAATCTGGGCATGAAAAAGGACGCTCACCGGTGTGCATTCTCTGATGTTGAAGAAGATGGTGCTTCACAGTGAAACTTTTCCCGCACTCAGAACATGGGAAAGGACGCTCGCCTGTGTGAGTTCTCTGGTGTTTAAGAAGTGCACTTTGTTCAGCAAAACTTTTCCCACATTCTGAACATGCAAAAGGATGTTCACCTGTGTGAATTCTCTGGTGTCTAAGGAGATTTACTTTCTCACTGAAACTTTTCCCGCACTCTGAACATGAAAAAGGTTGCTCACCTGTGTGAATTCTCTGGTGTCTAAGAAGAACTGCTTTTTCAGTGTAACATTTCCCACACTCTGAACATGTAAAAGGTCCATCACCTGTGTGAATTCTCTGGTGTGAAATAAGTTTTTCTTTCTGAGTGAAATGTTTGCCACATTCTGAACACTGGAAAGCACTCTCATCTGTGTGCTGTTTACGGTGTACTTGAAGTGCTTTTTTTGCCGCAAAGCATTTTCCACACTCTAAACATGAATAAGGGCGCTCACCTGTGTGTGTTCTTGTGTGTCTAAGAAGGTTTGTTTTCTCAGTAAAACCTTTACCACATTCTGAACATGAAAAAGGACGTTCACCTGTGTGACTTCTCTTGTGAATAAGAAGGCTTCCTTTCTGAATGAAACATTTCCCACACTCTGTACACGAATAAGGACGCTCACCTGTGTGAATTCTCTCGTGTATACGAAGGTCTGCCGTGCGTGAAAAGTATTTCCCGCATTCAGAACATGAGAAAGGTCTCTCACCCGTGTGAATTCTCTGGTGCATTAGGAGCACTTTCTTCTTGGTGAAACATTTCCCGCAGTCTGCACATGAAAAAGGACGCTTGTCCTTGTGACCTCTCCGGTGTCTAAGAAGTGCTTTGTTTTCAGTGAATGATTTCCCCCACACTGTGCAAGGCAATGTACTCTCTCCTGCGTGATCTCCTTCATGGTTTGAAGAAGATTCCTCGGGATTAGATGGATCTGTTGATCTCTCCGCACTCTGACATCTCAGATAGGTTTCTGGGGTAACAGTCTGTGATTGATGAGAAGATTCCTCAGGATTAGAGGGATCCATTGATGTCTCTGCATGGCAAGGTCTGTGATGGGTATTATGAGTAATGGGATTCACTCACGGAGAATGTTTGAGGTCATTATATTCTGGAGAAAATATAAGATGTCCCTCAGAGGTATTCCTCTTCCCAGCATAGAGTCCATCTGTAGGTGAGAAAGATCCGAAAATAATGTTACAGATCCAATTATACCTTCATGACATTGTAACTGTGAGAGTGGAGATGGACCTTCATATGGTGTACAGTATCTCCTCCTCATTTGTTGGTCACATGACGTTATATTGGGGAATGGAGATGGACCTTCATATGGTGTACAGTATCTCCTCCTCATTTGTTGGTCACATGACGTTATATTGAGGAATGGAAATGGACCTTCATATGGTGTACAGTGTCTCCTCCTCATTTGTTGGTCACATGACGTTATATTGAGGAATGGAGATGGACCTTCATATGGTGTACAGTATCTCCTCCTCATTTGTTGGTCACATGACGTTATATTGGGGAATGGAGATGGACCTTCATATGGTGTACAGTATCTCCTCCTCATTTGTTGGTCACATGACGTTATATTGAGGAATGGAGATGGACCTTCATATGGTGTACAGTATCTCCTCCTCATTTGTTGGTCACATGACCTTATATTGAGGAATGGAGATAGATATTAAAAATGTGGTTGTGGAGGAGATCCATCGATGATGTTTTTATGGTCATCACCTAAGATTCCTCTGTTTTCTCCTTACTGAAAGATGTGAAGTTCTCGGTGTTGCTATCACGGAGTTTGTGAAATTATGTGACTGACACAGACCCAGATATTAAAATTAAAAGGAAAGTGTAAATAGTTTTGGCCGCATTGTTCATTACCTGTGACAATATCTAAGGAGGATTGCTCCAATTTACTTTTTGTAGGCATTTCAACATCCTCCGTAGGCTGCTGGTCACCCATCACACACGTTTGTTCTTCCTCTTTTATCTCAGCTTTTACATGAATCCGGTCTTCACTCTAAACCCCCAAAAATATTGAAAATACTTTCTGTAAAATCTAACATTCATAGCAAGAGGCAAGCAAGAAGAATGTCATCTGCCCAACTCCACCTACCTGATCCTGGTGGGGGATGGTGAGATCTTGCTGTGTGGAATCCCGGGAATACAGAGGACGGGGACATCTCTCTGGTGGGTTCCTCTTACTAGATCCATCTGTAGGAAACACACACACTGACTGAATACATTGTTTCTATGTGTGTATCAGATGATGGGGGATGTAGGCGGAGCCTCCGTACTGCTCTCTCCTCTTACCCGGTGATGTGAGGGGCGGGGCATTCTCCATCACCACGTCCTTGTAGAGATCCCGGTGTCCTTCTAGATACTCCCACTCCTCCATGGAGAGATAGACAGAGACATCCTGACACCTTATAGGAACCTGACACACACAATGATACAGTCACCCTCCAGACACGCCCCTTGTCTGTTCCTGGATCATGTCCCAGAATCCCCGGCACCGCCCACCTCTCCCGTCCGCAGCTCCATCATCTTCTTGGTGACTTCTAGGATCTTCTTGGCTCTGTGTTCCTCTGTTGTCAGACGGTGAGGTGGACACTCTTTGATGATCGTGTAGCGCTCACCCCCGAAGGAGCCGCTGAATACGAAATGGGTTCTCCTACCTGTTGGTTCCAGCTACCGGTCCCCTTGGATCAGCAACAGCACACCGACACTCATGGACAGAACGGACTCGAGTCAGTCCACGTATCTCTAAATTGAATAGCGACATTTTAGAGGGCGCTACAATCTTTTGAAGACATCTGCTGGGCGTTAATGACTCACCAGATATATTCTTCACTAAGTTACAATGCTGTGAGAAGATAAAGTAACAATTAACATTTCCGACATTCTTAAATCCTCTTTATCACCCCCAGATAGGTTTGTCCTTCAAAGCCTCTTTCACAGTGGCCGCCATTTCTACAGTCTACATTTTTTCGTTGCAGACCCCACATAGAAAAGAGTTGCGAAAAATGTGAACGAGCCCTCAATAATACGGATACGAGTGATGTCATGTGACCTCCAAGAATCCTCCTCACCTCTCCGGTCAGCAGGTAGATGATCTCCAGGGTGAGGTCCAATATCCTCTCAGTCATGTGACCTTGGTCCTTCTCCATCCTCCTTCATGAAGTCATGTGATCTATTCTGGACACTCTTCTCTGCAGATAAATGGCTCTATATTTAGGATGTATCTGGTCTATAATATATCTTCTTACCTCCTCCACTGCCAGTTCCATCAATATTTCCTCTCTTCTTCCTCCCAACAGTCCTCTTACCCGGAATTTCCTGCCTGTGCCTTCGTAGCTGTGCGTTCTTTAAATAAGTTAGATTGCCACCTTATGGACAATGGGAAAATTGCAACCCACGTTGCTCTTGAAAACTTGAATCTCTTCCCTGTGGTCCATTCTTCCTATATATAATGTACAGTATCTACAAGTAGGTGACCCACATAAATGAAGACATCTCTTTCAGACCACCACCCCCGTGAAGAAGGACACACTAGGCTCTACCACCTTCCCGGGGTTCTATGGAAGTGGTGTGGGAGGATTGGTTGGATGGAGGACCCTCCTTGATTTTAGAGACTTAACAGGTACATCTTGTTGGAAGGTTCTAAATGGAGTCACTCCAAACAATAATTATGTCTGTCCAACGCAGGGATTGGATGCTGTCTATGGACATGGACACCAACACAACCCATCTAGAGGTTCCTGAGGGTTGCGTTGGTGGTTACCCAGTTCGCATGTCAAGCTTTTGGATTGCCACCCAGAACCTTCATGAAGGTCCTGATTTCTGTCCTAGGAGATGCAGGCCTTTGTGTCCATTACTACCTATATGATGTCCTACATCTGACTTGCTCTCGGGATGTCCTTCTAACCCAAACCCTTGCTCTCAACTCCTTTTGGGTGGTTCATGAATTGAATGAAAACGGCCAGGGGTACCAACTCTCTCCCATTGTCATCATACAGTTCTTGAGGATCCGTCCTTGAAGAAGGAACCTATTTCCTACATGGGATCAGTCCTTTGGTGCCTTTCTGAACCTCCATTTGAGGATTGCACCATCGTGAACTTGACCCTGAAAGTTGTGGTGGCAATCTCCTCAGCGTGGCCTACAAGGTGGCCCATGGGCTGTTCCTTCGTAGAAGATCCACCAGAGACTTCTCATCCGAGTGGCCACTAGAGATGTTCCAGTAGAAACTATCTTCAGAGCAGCCACATGGTCCTCTGATTCATGGTTTATATCTCATTTCTGGGCAGACCCGGCACTACTTAGGACTGAGGAGCCTTCAAGGAGAGCTTTATCTTCTCACCTACCCTTTAAATAAATTCATCTTTGGAATAACTCTCTGTCATTTGCCAGATGCATGCTACAATGGAGGCACCAGGAAAAAAGAGCACTTACCTTCCCATAACTTTCCTTTCCTGGTGCCCTGGCGGTAAAACACTTGTATATATCACCGGTCCTGTTGGTAGTTAGGGGCGGGGCTACTTCCATGTCTATGCTGCCATGGCTGGACACCAGGAACGGAAAATGATGGAAAGGCTGAAGTGTTATGTGGCATCTGTGGTGGCTCCATGTACCCGTAGAATATTTATCTCTATGACCTGCTCACATCTTTAATCACTAACTAGAAAGAGACAGGACACAGAAGATTGTTTGCAGAGCTTTAATGTCCATCATCATCATCATCATCAAAAGAATAAGAATATGTGATTATCATACAATAAGGCCAAGCTGTATTGTGTCTGTGAAGGTTCTCATTCATCCATTCATCTCAAAATCAAGGCAACTGGACTCGCTGTATTTTCCTTGAAGACGTTTCGCTGGTCATCCGACCAGCTTTCTCCATTCATTCTCATTCTGACTTGAGAAAGCTGGTTGGATGACCAGCGAAGCGTCTTCAAGGAAAATACAGCGAGTCCAGTTGTATTGATTTTTTTTTTTTTACAGACAAACCTGATAACAACTTCAAACAATAAGATACAAAACAAAAAAGTGTATTAATAATTTATGGATCAGACCAATAAGTAGAGAAAAGCAGCAGCCAGAAGGTTTATGGGTGTAGGACAACATCTGATTGGGTGCAGTGGGCTTTGTGCGTTGTAACTTCAATCCTCCTTCAGATGTTGGTCACCTGGAGGTTCAGCACTCAGTACATGCCATGTAAACACGAGGACCTGCAGTACATGGGAACATGCCCTGGAGGGGGAGGGTGGGAACATTGATCCTCCTTCAGATATTGGTCACCTGGAGGTTCAGCACTCAGCACATGTCATGTAAACACATGAGGACCTGCAGTACATGGGGACATGCCCTGGAGGGGGAGGGTGGGAACATCGATTCTCCTTCAGATGTTGGTCACCTGGAGGTTCAGCACATGCCATGTAAACACAAGAGGACCTGCAGTACATGGGAACATGCCCTGGAGGGGAGGGTGGGAACATCGATCCTCCATCAGTGAGCTCTGTGCACTGAGGAGGCCATCACACTGTTGGGAGGATGCTGTGCATTTGCTGGGTGTGCTGGAGGATGTATACCGGGAAGATACCAATGTACATGTCATGGGGGTGCCATCATGCTGTTAGAATATTCTCAATTTAGGATGAATTTTGTACTGGGGGCAGAATTCTTCAGGAGGAAACAGAAACAGACAGCAACAGAGCCTAGAAGTGTAGCAGGAAGACCTCATCAGTGGAGGTCAGAGAAATACAAACCGGTAGGTAACTCCACAGGTAGGTAGAGTTTCCCTGCTACTGGGCTGTGCCCATTGATCATAGATGAGTTCTGGGGGGGCAATTAAACTGTTTAATGCCACATTCCGTCCATCAACGTCAAGTGTGTGTTTTCTGGTGCCTAATTAGGTTTCCTTTGTGTGTAAAACTTTTCCCGCACTCTGAACATGGAAAAGGGCCCTCACGAGTGTGAATTCTCTGATGATATATAAGGTTTCTTTTCTCGAGGAACGTTCTCCCGCACTCCGAGCATGAAAATGGGCGTTCACCTGTGTGCCGTCTCTGGTGTAAAAGAAGTGCGCTTTTTTCGGTGAAGCTCTTCCCGCACACTGAACATGAAAAAGGACGCTCACCCGTGTGCCTTCTCTGGTGTGTAATTAGTTTTCCTTTCTCTGCAAAACATTTACCACACTCTGGACAGGCGAAAGGACGCTCCCCCGTGTGAATTCTCTGGTGTTTTAGGAGGTGTACTTTCTGGGTGAAACATTTTCCGCACTCCGAACATGAGAAAGGAAATTCACCTGTGTGAATTCTCTGGTGCGTAATTAGGTTTCCTTTGTGAGTAAAGCTTTTCCCGCAATCTGGACAGGAAAAAGGGCGCTCACCCTTGTGACTTTTCTGGTGTCTAAGAAGGTGCGCTTTCTGAGTAAACCTTTTCTCACACTCCGAACATGCAAAAGGATATTCACCAGTGTGAATCCTCTGATGTATAAGTAGTGCTCTTTTGTCAGTGAAACTTTTCCCACACTCTGAACATGAAAAAGGACGCTCGTCTGTGTGACTTCTCTGGTGCCTAAGGAGTTTTCCTTTCTCGTTGAAAGATTTCCCACAATCTGAACATGAGAAAGGATTTTCACCCGTGTGACTTCTCTGGTGTGCCAGTAGTTTTCCTTTCTCTGTGAAACTTTTCCCACACTCTGAACATGAAAAAGGACGCTCACCGGTGTGAATTCTCTGGTGCGTAACAAGTGCCCCTTTCTGAATGAAAGATTTCCCGCACTCTGAACACGAAAAGGGACGTTCACCCGTGTGGATTCTCTGGTGCGTGTGAAGTACACTTTTCTCAGTAAAACTTTTCCCGCACTCTGAACAAGCATAAGGGCGCTCAGCTTTGTGACTTTTCTGGTGGGCAAGAAACTGGTCTTTTTCATTGAACGATTTCCCGCACTCTGAACATGTAAAAGTCACCCGCGTGTGAGATCTGAGATGTATGAGAAGTTCGGATCTCAGCTTAAAAGATTTCCCGCACCCCAAACACGACAATGGGCACTCTCCCGTGTAATCTCCTTCTTGGCTTGAAGAGGACCTCTCGGGATTAGGTGGATCTGTTGATTTCTCTGCTCTGCGAGATCTCAAATGGACATCTGGAGTAACAGTCTGTGATTGTTCAGAAGATCCCTCAGAATTAGAGGGATGCATTGACCTCCGTGAATGGGAAGGTCTGTGATGTCTCTTATGAGTAATGGGATTCACTCCTGGAGAATGTTGTGTGATGTCATCATCTTCTGGATTTAAAATCGGATGTTCCTCTGAGGTATTCTGGACACGGCGTCCATCTGTTGGAGAACAATTTTAAAAGTCTTGTGAATGTCCTGTTTTCAGGAGTCAAATATGATGGACAAGAACTCAACAGGGTGTCGCATCTTGGACATGGAATTGGGTAAGATCGTAACATCAGAAGATGAATACAAACCCGGCAAAGGATTCACTACATCCAAACACATTGAGGAACACTGTCTCCGCATTGATTACGTTGGTGTGGTGAGGGACGGAGAGGGACTTTCCCCACCTCAATTATTGGACAACAGACTGAAGAATGGAGATGGACCATTCATTGTTTCAAGGAATATCGGGAAAGGAACCTGACCTGGATGAATGAGAACCTTCAGAGACCTTAGGTGGTGGGGTATATACAAGTATGACGTTATTTCGGTGAGGACACTGAAGCTCGACCTTCCATATGGAGATTCGTCTACCATATGGTGTTCAATACCTCCATCGTATTTGTGGCGAACATTAGGTTGTGTCAATACAAGTATGCCGTTATTTGGGTGAGGACTGAAGGTTGGCCTTCCATATGGTGTTCAAGACCTTCAGCATATTTGGCGGGAACATTAAGTGGGGGGGTAGGTACATGGAATATGACGTTATTCTACTGAGGACTGGAGATTAGTCTACCATATGGTGTTCAATATCTTCAACGTATTTGGTGGGAACATTAGGTGATGGGGTAAATACAAATATGACGCTATTTTGGTGAGGACTGAAGGTTGGCCTTCCATATGGTGTTCAATATTGTATTTGGTGGGAACATTAGGTGGTGGGGTAGGGACATGAAATATGACGTTATTCTACTGAGGACTGGGTGACTAGTCTACCGTATGGTCTTTAATACCTTCATCGTATTTGGTGGGAACATTAGGTGGTGGGGTTAATACAAGTATGACGTTATTTGGGTGAGGACTGAAGGTTAGTCTACCATATGGTCTTTAATACCTTCAGCATATTTGGTGGGAACATTAGGTGGTGGGGTAGGTACATGAAATATGACAATATTCTACTGAGGACTGGAGGACTAGACTACCATATGGTGTTCAATACCGTCATCGTATTTGGCGGGAACATTAGGTGGTGGGGGTGAATACAAATACCACGTGATTTGGTAATGACTGGAGAATAGTCTACCATATAGATATTAGCCTTACATATGGTGTTCTACGCCTTCATCAAACTTGTGGGGAACATTAGGTGGTGGGGTTAATACAAGTATGACGTTATATTGGTAAGGACTGAAGGTTAGACTACCATATGGTGTTCAATACCTTCATCATATTTGGCAGAATCATTAGGTGGTGGGGTAGGTACATGGAATATGTTATTCTGCTGAGGACAAGTCTACCATATGGTGTTCAGTACCTTTTATCTTATTTGGTGGGAACATTAGGTGGTGGGGTAGGTACATGGAATATGTTATTCTGCAGAGGACTGGAGGACTAGTCTACCTTATGGTGTTCAATACCTTCATCAGATTTCTGAGGAACATTAGGTGGTGGGGTAGGTATATAAAATATAACGTTATTCTGCTGAGGACTAGTCTACCTTATGGTGTTCAGTACCTTTATCGTATTTGGTGGGAACATTAGGTGGTGGGGTAGGTATATAAAATATAACATTATTCTGCTGAGGACTGGAGGACTAGTCTACCTTATCATGTTCAATACCTTCATCAGATTTCTGAGGAACATTAGGTGGTGGGGTAAATACAAATATGACGTTATTTTGGTGAGGACACTGAAAGTTAGCCTTCCATATGGAGATAAGTCTACCATATGGTGTTCAATACCTTCATCGAATTTCTGAGGAGCATTAGGTGGTGGGGTAGGTACATGGAATCTGTTATTCTGCTGAGGACTAGTCTACCATATGGTGTTCAATACCTTCATCGTATTTGGTGGGAACATTAGGTGGTGGGGTAGCTACATCAATATTCGTATGATCAGCAGTCAAGGTTTCGGAATCTTTTCCTTACTGAAGCGCTCTGTTATTCAGGATTCGCACAGAATACATGTAACTGGAGGAAATATGTCTAACCTCTATATACGAAGATTGTTCCTCATTACGGGAGCTGAGAAGATGATGGGTAGTCTTCTCCAGGAACTGGTTCTACCTAACTCAGTATAATACAAAAAGACCTGGATGTGTTCATAATACACAACACCTGAGAGGTTACCAACATTTGTAGGGAAAATGGTGGCAAAATGTTGAATGTTGAAGAAGTGACCATGGGAGACCTCAGGACGGGTGGGGACAAGGGTGTTGTTGGAAATTGGGCCAGGCAACTGCGGCTTTAGGATGTTTTTTTGCCAACATAGGTTGATTTGGATGGACCTGTCTTCATTCTACCAAACCTACTATGTACTATACAGTCATTAAAAAGAACGGTCTCTACATTTCGTGTTTATGACTTACTTGTGTCCATATGTAGAGAAGATTCCTCCTGTTTACTCTCCACCATCATCTCCCCCTCCTCCATAGACTGCTGAGCTCCACTCACCAACGTCTCTTCTTCTTCCTCTTTGACCTCAACTTTCATGCCTCTCAGTTCTTCACCCTAAACCCCCAAAGATGATGGAACAGATATGTAAGAAAGGAACAAGAGAATAGATGGAAGAAGGTCATCTCATAGCTAAAAATCCACCTACCTGATCATGGTGGGGGACGGTGAGATCTTCCTGGGTGGAATCCCGGGAATACAGCGGACGGGGACATCTCCCTGGTGGGTTCCTCTTACTGGATCCATCTGTAGGAAACACACACACTGACTGAATACATTGTTTCTATGTGTGTATCAGATGATGGGGGTTCTAGGTGGAGCCTCCGTACTGCTCTCTCCTCTTACCCGGTGATGTGAGGGGCGGCTCATTCTCCATCACGACGTCCTTGTAGAGATCCCGGTGTCCTTCTAGATACTCCCACTCCTCCATGGAGAAATAGACAGAGACATCCTGACACCTTATAGGAACCTGACACACACAATGATACAGTCACCACCCAGACACACCCCTTGTCTGTTCCTGGATCATGTCCCAGAATATTATTCTGCTGAGGACTAGTCTACCATATGGTGTTCAATACCTTCATCGTATTTGGTGGGAACATTAGGTGGTGGGGTAGCTACATCAATATTCGTATGATCAGCAGTCAAGGTTTCGGAATCTTTTCCTTACTGAAGCGCTCTGTTATTCAGGATTCGCACAGAATACATGTAACTGGAGGAAATATGTCTAACCTCTATATACGAAGATTGTTCCTCATTACGGGAGCTGAGAAGATGATGGGTAGTCTTCTCCAGGAACTGGTTCTACCTAACTCAGTATAATACAAAAAGACCTGGATGTGTTCATAATACACAACACCTGAGAGGTTACCAACATTTGTAGGGAAAATGGTGGCAAAATGTTGAATGTTGAAGAAGTGACCATGGGAGACCTCAGGACGGGTGGGGACAAGGGTGTTGTTGGAAATTGGGCCAGGCAACTGCGGCTTTAGGATGTTTTTTTGCCAACATAGGTTGATTTGGATGGACCTGTCTTCATTCTACCAAACCTACTATGTACTATACAGTCATTAAAAAGAACGGTCTCTACATTTCGTGTTTATGACTTACTTGTGTCCATATGTAGAGAAGATTCCTCCTGTTTACTCTCCACCATCATCTCCCCCTCCTCCATAGACTGCTGAGCTCCACTCACCAACGTCTCTTCTTCTTCCTCTTTGACCTCAACTTTCATGCCTCTCAGTTCTTCACCCTAAACCCCCAAAGATGATGGAACAGATATGTAAGAAAGGAACAAGAGAATAGATGGAAGAAGGTCATCTCATAGCTAAAAATCCACCTACCTGATCATGGTGGGGGACGGTGAGATCTTCCTGGGTGGAATCCCGGGAATACAGCGGACGGGGACATCTCCCTGGTGGGTTCCTCTTACTGGATCCATCTGTAGGAAACACACACACTGACTGAATACATTGTTTCTATGTGTGTATCAGATGATGGGGGTTCTAGGTGGAGCCTCCGTACTGCTCTCTCCTCTTACCCGGTGATGTGAGGGGCGGCTCATTCTCCATCACGACGTCCTTGTAGAGATCCCGGTGTCCTTCTAGATACTCCCACTCCTCCATGGAGAAATAGACAGAGACATCCTGACACCTTATAGGAACCTGACACACACAATGATACAGTCACCACCCAGACACACCCCTTGTCTGTTCCTGGATCATGTCCCAGAATTCCCGGCACCGCTCACCTCTCCTGTCAGCAG